AGACCCCTGGTCTATGGAGATTCTCTCAGTCATCCTGGTCCTGATTTTTATTTTATTTTTTATGTATTTATTTATTTGATTTGTCAATCACTTACAAGATAATAGGTATAAGTATAAACATGAGTAAGTATAAGTATAAGTAAGTATAAACGAGAGAGAGAGAGAGAGAGAGCATCCACTCGGAGAAGGTGGAGTGAAACGTCACGCGCAGCCAAGACCCCTCACCCCCGCCCCCACTCGCCGCGCCCCTTCCCGAAGTGACAGTCACGTTCAAGTCGCGCGCCACGCCGGTTGGAAGAAAAGTCCCTTTTCCCCGCGCGCGCACAGAGCGCCCTTCCCCTCCGAACCGCGCCTCTCTCTCTCTCTCTCTCTCTCTCGTTCTCCGGGCCCGCTTGGACCAATGGGGGGACGGGGTGGGCGGAGCCTCCCTGGCCGAGGCGTTGGAAAAGAGCCGAAGTGGCAAACGCTCCGTAGAGGAGTTGAGTTCAAAGCGCCGCGCTCGGAGAGAGTAGCGCATAAGGGAGAAGCGAGGCTGACTTGGGACCTCCATCCTTCGCATCCCCGGACCCGCCCCACGCCCCTCCCGGTTTCCCAGCTCCTCTCCTATGGGGAGACTCGGAGTGAGATGTATCGCTCTGGCTTCGGCTGCCAACGCCGCCAGATCCGCCGCGCCGTGATCGGACCGCCGGAGAGGAGAGAGAAGAGAGTGGCGGAGTCGCCGCTGCCGCCGCCTTCAGCGAACCTGGGACAGCGCCTTTCGAAACCGGCGGGTCCGCGAAACTTTCGAACCTTTCCAACTTCGCGAAGCCCTGGCTAAGAAACCTATGGGACGTTGACCTGCTCGCAGATGCCATCCTCGCTCCGGGATCTGACAGAAGGAAGAAACAACCGCTAGTTTTTCCAGAGGACGGGTGGGGAAGCCCTGCGGTTTTTAATCTGAAGAGTAAGAAGGTCGAACACCTCAAAAGAATCAGGCAGGAAACCCACCCGCGATCCTCTTCCTGACCTGCAGAATTATTATTATTATTTTTTGCGGCATTGGGGCTACTGTTTCCCCAGGCTTCTGAAATAAGAATAACTCCCAAACTTTTCTTTTCTCTCCTTCTGAAATGCAGGTTTTCCCCTTTCCCTTATGTTTGCCCCTTTCTTGTTTCCCTTCCTCTTGGAACTGAACTTTAGCACCCTTAACCCTTGTAGTTTATCCACGCTTTCTTGCTTGGTCTTCTCCGTGTTGTTTTGGTTTTTTTTGCCATGGCGTTGAACCCCACCATGCTCCCCGTTACCAACAGCTCCTCCAACGGGACAGGAGCTGAGAGCAGCAAACCCCTGACCATCCCCATGGTCATGTTCATTTTCGGAGTGGTGGGGAACCTTGTAGCCATCGTGGTTCTTTGCAAGTCCAGGAAGGAGCAGAAAGAGACCACCTTCTACACGCTGGTCTGTGGACTGGCTGTCACCGACCTCTTGGGGACTTGCCTGGTTAGCCCGGTGACAATTGCTACGTATCTGAAGCAGGAATGGCCTGGTGGCCAACCCCTGTGTGAATACAGCAGCTTCATCCTCCTCTTCTTTGGCCTGTCTGGACTCAGCATCATTTGCGCCATGTCCATAGAGAGGTACCTGGCCATCAACCATGCCTACTTCTACAGCCATTATGTGGATAAGAAACTAGCGGCCCTCACTCTTTTCGCAATCTACGTTTCCAATGTCCTCTTCTGTGCCATGCCAAACATGGGCTTGGGGAAGACAAAGCTCCAGTACCCGTATACCTGGTGCTTCATAGACTGGCAGACAAACATATCCAGCCATGCTGCTTTCTCGTACATGTATGCCGGCTTCAGCTCCTTCCTCATTATGGTCACGGTGGTCTCCAACATCTTGGTGTGCATGGCCCTGATCCGCATGCACAGGCAATTTATGCGTCGCACTTCCCTGGGGACAGACCATGCCACTAACCGCCTGTCAGACTTTCGCCGGCGCAGGAGCTTCCGGCGCATGGCTGGTGCAGAAATCCAGATGGTCATCTTGCTCATTGCCACTTCCTTGGTCGTAGTGATTTGTTCCATTCCTCTAGTGGTGAGTAATCTGCTTATCCTTTTCTTTCCAATATTATCATTAATGTCCTTTAAGGAAACATTGTGCTGCAAACATGAAGTTCCTTCCTTTTGTAGTTGTCACACATGTGATCTAAAACTTTTTTAGCCCAGCAAAAGCAAGGAGCCTATTCCCACTTCAGTTCTTTTTCTTGACTCGATGCTAATATTTAAGACAAAACACTAAGAAACATTTTGACCTGCTCTTTAGCTGTTTATCTATTCATAACAGTTGAGAAGATCCCAAAACACCTCCGTTATTGCCAATCTCTTAAAGGAATTCATGATGGTCAATTTTAGCCTCATGCAGGAAAATGGTTTATGCAATTTGCAAGCAATGCACACACAGAATAATTGTGGCACATTACTTGACGTTAAAATCGTATACCTTCACTTTCTTCAAAAGTATCATGGTGTTTTTAGGGAGTTATTTTTCAGATGCATAACTTTGCAGCTTTATATTCAAATTTCTTTATTTCATTGGATTGTTGGATAGACTGATTAAAAAAACCAAGTTGCTTTCCTGGGATGTTATAGAAATACAGATCAAGGTGTGGCTTAAAGTAGAGCATATTGAAATTGCAAAACTTTTCAGCCAAACGTTATGGAATTGCTTGCAGTTCAGTGTTCATAGCATTAGTATAAGGTCCCCAGATACACTTAAGCAAACAAATGTTAAAGTATCTTTAATTATTAGAGATACGTATATCAGGCTAAAAGATTTAACAGTCTGATAAAGACTGGTTCCCAATTCCTTTTTTCCAAAACTCTAAAAAGAAAAAAAATGTTAGCAGTGTTCTTCGTCAAGTAAAGCAAGGTTTTTTTTTCTGCGACAATGATAGCGCTGTGACAGTTGCGTGCAGTTATTTATTGTTGCATGGACAACTTTGATAACTGTTTTGTGCCTGGCTGTAGTAGGCATTCTCTTTTTTGCAGTTGACTCCAAGGAAGGGAGAAAGAGTAACAACAGTTGGGGGCTTAGCTAAGACTTGCCCCCACTTGTAAACTTTCCAATAAAATGCAACAAGCTCCTTTTTCTTGGCAGGGATATATTAAACAACTGACAAGGCATCTTTGCTATTATCCCTCCCTTTCGTTCTATAAGCTAAGTGATCCTTTGGAGAGAAGCATGGAGAATATGGTTGGATATAGTAGAGGGGACTTCTTGTAGGCAACAGACAATCTAAAATTGCTTTCCAACAAGAAGTTAGTAAAAGCAGAGAAACCCATATCCAAGAGAGACTGGGCAAACCACAAGCTTGAGTTATTCAACTAATGCTATAATTTTACTAGTTAGGCCAGTTTTGCTACATAACTAAAATAATCCAGCTATGAATACCTGGTCTGTGATACCAATGCATTTTAAAAGTAGCCCAGGTCATGTTCTTCAGTGTGTAACTGTACACCTTTCCATTGGTGTTTCTTACTAAAACGACAACATTTTGCTCTATGATCTTTGACTTAGTAACACAACGAGTCCTGTTTTTAAGCTGTGAAAGTAAACATAAAGGGTGGTTGGTAATTTCCTCACAAAAGATCTGGTAGCAAATTAAGGATAATTGTTTTCTTGTAGTGCTTGTTATTTTCTCACATGGAAATGGCCCAGATGGGGGAGATATGAAAAACAAATCCCCTACTATTCAGACTCATCTTGAACAAGGAGATTTCATGTGTAGTAGCCTGATAATGAAAAGAGGAAATTGTGCTTAATGAAGTGTGTGCTTCTGGATGGGAAATACTGCAGCTAAAATTGGGCTCACTTCCTCCTTTCATACAAGTGGGTTTTTTGGTATCAATAATGTAATAATAACTCAGTCCTTCTGGTATTGTTGCAATATGTACAAATATTGAATTACCTGTTTCGTCCAACTATATATTCTAAATATCAGTTCCTACTAAAAGCTAAACGATGGTGAAGTGGGCAATGATGGAATCTCCCACACATTTTGACATGGTAGCTATTTTTGGATAAATTGCTTATAAAAGCTTTCTGAATGTAGTAAAATTAGGACTGAGCTACACTACTTGTTTCTGTTTCAACTGTTTGCTTACTTTAGGAAAGGACTTAAATTTTCATGACTTTTAAACATGGAGAAACAGTTATATTGTCACATCTATTTGCAGTGTAAAGTGGTCAAGTCTACTTATTCTTCAGAAAGGGTAAACATAAGATATTCCTTGAATTGTGTTCCAACTAATTGATATGGCTGCCTAACACACCCTTGCAATTATGGCTTGTGATTTCTTGCTTCTGGGAATGTTGTTTTCTAAGCTAGTCTACAGCGCTCTAGTGGTCTCTCATCCAATTATTGATTGGATCTATATCTGCTTAGTTTTTACACGTTCAGTGAAGTTGCTGCTACTTTCTGCTGTGACACACTCCTGGTATGGGATCTTTTCAGATTGTGGCTAAGTAGTCCTTAAAGCATTATCATAAACCCATTTGTTGGTTAGCTTGGGGCAAGTGCTTGTGGCTTATGCTTTCCATAATAGACACCTCTAGAAGACTGGATTCATTCCTCTAAATTTTTCAATCGGGGGAAAAACAACAATATTTTCTTCCGTTTCATGCTTTTTACACATTCCACATTAATAGAAGGAGGAGGGTCATTTCTCAAAAACCTCCTCAGCATTTCATACCATAGAATGCTAAAAAGAATCTATGACCACAAAGGCAAACCAACATTTGTGAATTCTCTTAACTTTCAAGATACTGTGATTAAGACACCTGAGGACAGGAATTTGTGGCCAAGTGTCTGACAACTGTATTGACAAATACAAATAAAGTAGAAGTCTCTCTACCTAAAGAAGACGATAATGGATAAGAAAACACTTGTTAGTTGATAGTGTTGCATAATGCAGGAGATTAAAAAATACTTGACATTAAATACAGTAAATGCTATCGGAACAGGAAGCTGGACTGGATGGATTTTTTATTTGTTCCAGTAGGGATCTTATTTAATCCATCTGATTCAGACTGAAATAGAACATAAGAAATTACTGTCCAAATTGTCTATTGGAAACAGTAGTTAGATGCCAAGTCGGGACAAATAGTCCACATATATGTTTGCATCCCATTGAATAGTTAAATCCCCCCCCAAATATAAATGCTTAGAGGTGCTTACTTAATAACATGAGAGCCAATTTATTGCTGATTATTTATTTTGAATTAAAGGTGTTGTATTCAGCATAGTATTTATGTATCAAATGACATGGGTCTACATGCTTTATCTTTGCAGTGACCCTATGAAGAAGCTTAGACTACAGGAAGATGATTTGAATCACTCTGTTTATTCCATGAATAAATGGGTATATCAGTGTAACTATGACTTGTCCAAATTCAGCAAGGCCTGTGGGTAGGAATTTTTTTTTTTATATGAAGATATGTGTAGGTGGTTCTGATATTGCAGAGCAATACTCCAATGAAATTTTGCAGAATTTTGTATTGAAGGGAAGATGTTGTCTTCAAGCACCTGACAAAAAAGTTTCAGTAAACAATATTTTTTTTAAAAAAAATAAAAGAACAGGAGGAATGGAAAACAATGAATGTTATCATGCTCAATGCCTTGCTATTAGAGAGGGTTAATTGACTATGAAAATAGTAAAACAGTAAGTAAATTTAATTTGTAAAACTCTCTCAAACTCATTCCTTTCATTTCTTAATAATCTCAATGAAATTAATCATATAGAAACAAACTATGTTGGGGAAAGTAAAAGGAGGGGGAAGCACATAGAATAACAAAACGTGTTATTTCTACTTGTGAATTAAAACAGTCAAAGATTCATTGTCAGGACCGTTGTATGAATCCAACAGAAGGATTTCAGAGCTATATATAAGTTGTTTTCCCCTTGGCTTTATGCTCACAGTAACTTTTGAGGTTGACTCAATGAATTATCTTGTTGAACAGGAATTTGAACCCAGATTTTATCAGTACACACACTTTATTTTGGAATAACACATTGGAGGACTGCAACTGGTGCTCTATGGGACTTTAAGAATATCAGAACTTCATATTAGACCTAACCACCTGCTTCCTACTCATCGACTGGGATCACTCAGTGACTTAGGCTAAAATAAAATAAATTGGAGAGTTTGTGATTCAGTAGCTCATGCACCTAACCAGTGCCTTAAAATATTATGTGAACCAGACCATCCTGTTAAAGAAATATTACAATGTATTTATTTAGACATTGTGTACTTTGTTAATCTAAATTTAGTGTTCTGTTCATTGTTAACATTTAGAATTTGCTATTGGGAATTGACTGCCAATGCATATGAGCCAAATCAAATCAATTATAGTCAAAGACCAGAACAAATAAAACACTCAAAAATATTATTTGATTTTATTTGCATATGTGTATTTGAAATTCCAATGGATTCCCCAAATACAGATTCTTACAGTGTTTTCTGCATTGAGACATGCTGGGAATTGATACATGTTAGAAATTATGAACTTCACTCTGAAAGACATTTTACCCTTATTTTCAAATAAAAGTCAAATAAAAGACAGATCTGATATTTCATTATAGTGAAGGTTATAGAAATTGGTCAAGGAACAGAAGTGAACAGAGCCTTCATAATTTCTCCATTTGAAATAGGAAAGCTTTGTATACATACTTGTTTAAAAAACACATTTTAATTTTTCCCCTTCATTTATGAATTTAATCCCTACCTTTTCTACCCTACCACAAACAACTACCTCCAATGAGTATCACCAATTTGAAATGACTGGGATTGGGGTACACTAACCTGGAGAATCTCATGGTTATTATTTGAGGCACAATTAACATTTCTAATAGACAAGACATTCACAGAAGGCGGGTATGGTGTGTGTCCAAAATGACAACATTGGATGTACATGATTGAAGCCCAGATCCCTTTATGTCTCCGATGCATTAAAATAGCAGAGGCTTTGTGGTGCCTTCTTGATTTTTGTCAAAAATAGAAAATTAAAATAGATTGCTCTGTCATCAGAATATAGA